CTTAATGAATGATACTTTGGTTACTACTGACAATGACATGACATTCATCTTACCAACTTATTAGCTTGCTCCTTCCCTAGATCCATAGGCGGAGGTAGAGGCAAAACCAAATTAGGTTGCTCTCTAGCCACCTGATACTTTGTATTTCAACATTTTTAGGCTTTTTCTTTATGTCTTTAGTGTACTTTTCTGTATTTTCTAGTTTTGGAACCACTTGTGGCTTTGGTGTGGACAGGGTGCCATGTTTGGGCCATTTAACTCATTGTATCTGTATCTTTCTCTCTAGTTAATATATTAGCCTTTTTGGGCTTTCTATATATATATATATATATATATATATATATATAGTGATTTTAGCTGTTGTTCAGCTGTAATCATTTAATTTAGTGTTCATACTATAAAGGAACCCAAGATTCCTATTAACCTAAAGCTACTGTTGATTATCCTTTCGCACAATGATATATTTTCAGCTAGAATGTCATTAATCCTTGACTACATCAAATAAAAGCAAATTTTTATAGCATAAAGCTAACATGAATAGATTTTCATTTTTTTCCTGGCGTGATATCCATGCATTTTGTGAAACTAATAGGTAATTTGAGTAGACTATATAGGGCCAGAAAGATGATCAATGAATTTTAAAAAAAATATTTATTTTGGTATTTCTTCTTGGGTTTGATCTTCAGCTCGGCTAAGAATTGTATGCATGATTTCACATTAATCCGGCTTTTATATGCATTACTCATTTGTGTATTACCCATTTGACCATTCCTCTCGTCACTATATTTCATCAGGGCTTTGCTATTCCAAAGGAATCTCAAAAGAAAGTTGTGGATTTTACTTTCAATGGGGAGCCAGCTCAAATTAAACACGGCGATGTTGTCATTGCGGCAATCACCAGTTGCACTAACACTTCAAATCCTAGTGTGATGCTTGGAGCTGCTTTGGTTGCAAAGAAAGCTTGCGAACTGGGTCTTGAGGTTGAAATTTAGATTCCTTGCACTAGCTTTTTGTGATGTCTTTTTTATTTAGAAGCAGTTTATCATTCTTTCGGTTATTTAAATAGTCAAATGGCCAATAAGCTGGGGATGACATATTGACAGTGCAGAAAATGATGGGCTTCTGTAATCTAAAACGTTCTCTTATATATGGAAAATCTTGAACTCACTTTATAACCCGTTTTTTGGTCAAACTTCCATATTGAAGATACATGGCATTTTTTGTTGTTAACTATGTTAAAATTTAACCCATCTGTTAAGTTAGATAATTGATTTTACAAGTCTATTCTTCTGTTATTCAAAATTTAACGATGTGCTCTCGTCATCACAAAAAAAAAGCTTTTCACATGTGCAATGTCAATGAATACATAAGGGTGGCCTCTAGTAACTACTAGATGTTAGTGTCCCATCGCAACTTCACGCTTTTTTTTTTCTGGGCCACAGCAACATTTGGGTTTGTGCCAGAGATATGAACCAGCAATTACATGCCTAAGTGTGTTGATACATGGAAAAATTTTCCCTCTTTTTTCCGTACATTTGAGTTTGAGTCATAATTTGATGTACTGATTAGAACTCTCCCCTTACAATTACGAACCAAACAAATTTTGTTTCAAACAAGACCTATCATGTTGACTAGCTTTTCTTCCCTTTCCAAACCAATCAAGGTTGCTCCTAATCCTCTTAGGCAATTTTTATCAAACATTTCACCAACAGTTTTGCTGATCATTTAAGGCTAACTGACCTTATGAACTTTTAAAGTTTTAGAGGTGAAAATTTCTTAATTTAAAAAATGCCATCAAACTTGTAAACCTCCCGTAAATGGTTTTTAAAGTTTAGCCTGCTGATAGCCAAATATAACCCTATCACCCACTTAAAGCACTGTATTTTTGCTTTGTGTGTTATGAGCACACATGTAAAGAGACAAATAGAAAACATGCGAAGAAGATAGAATGGTGGTAGATCTTCTCCATTGATCAGGTAGCCTGAGTTTCTTGTCAAATAAAGTACCTGCGCCAACACCAATCAATGAACTCCTGAGCTATGCTTTCTTTTTTTTTTGTTCTTTTTTTCTTTATCTGATTTGAAAAGCGGAGGGCTGCGTTAGGTAGTCGATAACCAGTATAAAAATTTTGTCGAAGAACTATGACATAAATCATTTAAATAATTATGCCAATGCTAGGGCGTCCCCTGGAAGCAACGAATTGTATGACCCGAATACAGTAACAAGTGTGTGAGTCAGCTGCAGTGATGCCCAGGTGCAACATTAAATAAATTAGTTTCCACATTATGTATGGATGCGGGCAAATAATTTAGTTCATGAAAAAAAATTTAGGATAACAACTTGGAATATTGGTACTCTCACAAGTAAATTAATGAAATTAGTAGATATTATGATTTATAGGAATATAAATATCTTATGCATTCAAGAAATTAAATGAGTCGTACTATAAATGGTGTAGGTGTAATTATAGATAAGATTTTGAAAAATAATTTTGTAAAAATTAGTAAAATTGGAGATATAATTATAGCTCTAAAGATTGTTAATGATATTAGGACTTTTAATATTATGAATGCTTATGCCTTCCTAGCGGGTTTGGATATATGTTCAAACAAAAAAAATTTTTGGAATGACCTAGAGAATCAATGCAAATGATATTTCTTGAAGAAAATTTTTTTTATTAGAGAAGATTTAAATGGACCTTTTGGTAGAATGATAGAAAATTTTAGAAGTATTCATGGTGGCTAGGATTTTGGAGTGACTAATGAAGAAGGCAAAACCATATTGGATTTTGCTTTAGCTTATGGTTTTGTTATTGCTAATATTTTATTCAAGAAAAAAGTTAAACATAGTATCTTTTATAAGAATGTATCTTATAAAACAGCTGACCTCACTTAGTAGGATCAAAGCTTGCTGTTGTTGTTGATAAATTTGTTTAGCAGTATCTTTAATCTGTATTGCTGTTGGTTTCTCTTTGTTTATAGGTGAAACCATGGATTAAGACGAGCCTTGCTCCAGGATCTGGGGTTGTTACGAAGTATTTAGAAAAGAGGTAAATATTAGCATTTGTGCTAACATACTCATTATAGCTATGCTTGAAAAGCACCTAATGCTTTACCACCATCTTTTCAGTGGTTTACAGAAATACTTGAATCAGCTTGGGTTTCACATTGTGGGATATGGATGCACAACCTGTATAGGAAATTCTGGAGACATTGATGAATCAGTAGCTTCAGCTATCTCTCAGAATGGTTGGTTTTCTGTTTTGGTTTGTCAACAAAGCTGCCATTTAATATCTCTTTCCAGGAAATATGTTCCTGTAACTTTTGTGATGATTAATTTGCAGATATTGTTGCTGCTGCCGTTTTGTCTGGGAATAGAAATTTTGAGGGACGTGTACATCCTCATACCAGGGCAAACTATCTTGCCTCTCCTCCCCTTGTTGTAGCATATGCTCTCGCCGGCACGGTATACCATATTAATTTTTCTTATCTCAGAATTACTTACTGAATTGTTAGAATTTTTCTTTCAGACTTCTTTGCTCCATTAATCTTTACTTTTCAGAAGTTTTATGCATTTAGTTTCTTTTGGCAATGTCACGACAACTATTCATCGGAAATTTTCTGTTTTATACCCCTTTTGTTGCATGATTATGGTGTATTCATAAAAATTAGATGATTACTAGTTTTTTGAAATGCTATTCTATGGCTGACTAAATATTGATTTTGAAATATTTTAGTTTAAAATCAAGTTTAATTTGAGTATTTGACAACTTCAAATCTTCATGTTTCTAATTAATCATTTTAATCGTCAGCTTTTTTCTGAAGAAAATTTTATTTAAACCCATGTTTCTATAATGTTAATTCACTAATAGTAATAGTTCTAACGTTAGCTTGAAAAGTGACGCCTTTTGTTTTGAATGAAGTCTAAAGTTCAAACTTCATCTCCCAAAACAGTTCTTTAACCTACCTCTTTTATTTATTAATTTATTTTAAGTTTAGTTGGGAATGGGTTAATGCTGTTGATAATGATATCCAGAATTCTCGATGTGATATGCTGAGCGCTTGAGTTGCTGGCTAAATTTGGAGCTACAGAAGTTTAGAGCTGTATAAGATGTAGTTTCATTGCTCTCTAAGGCATGCTTGCTCTAGAATTTGTGGCTAAGTTTGCGAAGTTGAACTACAGTTCATGCATTGCAATATTCTACAGATGTGATTCTGTGGCAATGTTGTTGGCTGTCAATAGTCTAGTATAGGTAATTACATTGCACAAAGTATTGCTTTTTTACTTGTTTTACACATGATAATATGTTAGGCATACAATTACAATTTGCAACTAAGTGTTAACCTCATTTTTGGTGAGGTCTCTTACTCTTCTTAGAGGCTAGGATCTAGTCTTAGGGTTTCCTACCGACTATCCTAGAGGGTGAGGTCGACCAATATCTCTTACTCTTCTTAGAGCGTAGGATCTAGCCTTAGGATTTCCTACCGACTATCCTAGAGGACTAGCACTGGGACCAATGCCAATTAGAAATTCGAGTCACTTCTTGACTCCTCGCAGTTTCATATCGTCGGTTCTAAATCCTCAACGTTTAGTTGAGTCGAATAAAACCAGCGTGACGAAGCTCGAGGGAGTACCGATAGGATCCGAAACCATAAGAAATCCATTGCGACCTCCGCGCGTATTCGGCACGAATACCACAACTCACTCGTTCGATGCACACAATTATCAAAAATCACATCATTTGCACCCGTAGAAGGCTTTTCGATTGATCAAAGTCGAATCAATTGCTGGAACGATCGATAAAGAGCGATAATTCTAACGGAAATATATAAAAGAATTGCATTCCTGAATCCCTAAAGCCCCTCACGCGATTGAACCCCCCGGCCTCCCGATGCTTCGCCTCTTCTTCCCAATCGCGGTGCCAAGCCTGTGTCCTAGCTCTTCTTCCTCTCGGTTTGGTCGAGGCCTCCTCTTGGTGATGATTAGACCCGAGCGGAAACCCTAACTGTGCCCTTCTCCGTCTCCGGCATGTGACTGAGTGTTGACTCCTCGGCCTCGGCCGACATCCTCTACCCGAGAATCCTTCTTTCCGAAGCCGTGCCTGTCTCTGCAAGCTGCGAACTTCCTTCTTTGGTAGTTTTACCCGTGGAGCCTCTCTTCGAAGCACTTTATTGGCAAAACCTCTTCTTCCTGATGCCTTACGCCCTTGCTTTGTCTCCATTCTCTTCTTTCTTTCTCTCGGGTTGCCTCACCTCCGGTAAGTTATGGTATTCCATCTCCTCCCCTCCTCTGCTATAAAAACCCCTCTTGGGGAAGGGTTGTGAGGTTACAAATATTTGGAGCCTAGGGAAGACTCTGCTGAAATTTCTTCTTGGTCAGGTGCTTGTGGACTTGGTGTTTGAGAGTTCTTTGGCTTTCTTTTGTTGTTTGCAAAGGCTCAAGCAAGGTTGTTGCATCTTTGGTTGGTGATTCCTCCTGCTTGTTTCATCTTGCGTGTGTGCTTGAGATCTTTTGGACTTGGTATTTGAGAGTTCTTTGGCTTTCTTTTGTTGTTTGCAAAGTCTCAAGCGAGGTTGCTGCATCTTTGTCTGGTGATTCCTCCTGCTTGTTTCATCTTGCGTGCGTGCTTGAGATCTTTGGGACTTGGTGTTTGAGAGCTCTTTGGCTTTCTTTTGTTGTTTGCAAAGGCTCAAGCGAGGTTGTTGCATCTTTGGCTGGTGATTCCTCATGCTTGTTTCATCTTGCGTGTGTGCTTGAGATCTTTTGGAAGTTATGGGGTTGAAATTCGGGTGACATCTTGAGCAAGGTTAACTTCTGTTCCTGATTTATATTTCCTGTTCACTTTAATTGGATATGGGCTGAGGTTTAATCCCTCGTTTTGCTCCAACTAATGGACACAGGTTATATCATTCTTGCGTATTTATATGTTGCATGTCTGATCTTCATTTCTTTATAAGTATTAGTTGATTTCTTATAAAAATGCAAGTATCATCAATGCTTAATGGTTGAAAGGTATGAGTGCCAGCACTAAAAGTCGATGGTAAGTTCCTGCTTTAATCTGGTGTAGAGGTGGTTTGGATATTTGATTTGCTGTGTCAATGGTAACTGTTGCTTCTTCTTCTCGTTGGGTTAAAATCTTTTTTTTTTTGTGATATAGTCGGGTTCTCATACCCCTTTTATCTAAAAGGCTGGAGGGATTCAAAATCGTTTTAGATCACTAGCTTTACATATGGATTGGAATCGTAGTGACTATTATACATGAATAATCCTCACTCCTCGCCGAAGCCTTTGTATCACAATTGTATTTGGAAAATCTTGAAACATTTTATATACTTTCAACCTATGCATGAAGGAAATGTGTTTATCCTGGGTCAATGAATAGGACAAAGTCAATTTTTCTTTTTTTAGCTAGGCAAACTTGATGGAAGGTTGTGTTTATCTTGGCTTAAGGCATTCATGCACTTGTCTCACATGGGTTACTATTCTACTAGCTCTGGATTTCTTTCATATACAGGAGCTTGATTTGTTTGGGTTATGTGAAGAAATTATAAGAGATTAGGTTGGATCATTGTTATGCTGGCTTTAGTTGCTCTGGTTGCTTTAAATTTCATGTGAGCACTTTGGATTCCTTTTGCTTCAGATCGAGTTTATAATATCCCTGTTAAAAAATGCTGGGGCTGGTTTATTCTGGTTTTGGGAGGCATTAAATGCTGTCTTTTGGAAAAATTTCTTGGGCGTTCTACTTACTATTTGCTAGCTGATTTTCCAGTGGCCTCGCATGCCATCTTTGGGGGTCGGTTTAGCATTGTTTTCAGGTGTCCTTGAAATGCAATGTTTGAGGCAATTTTTTGGCTGCTTTGCTCAACTGTCTTGAGGTTGTTTGGGTACGTATTTTTGGGTGCTTTCTTAGTCATTTCTAGAGCAGTTTTGGATGGCTTATTTGGCTGATTTCGTGGCATTTGTGGGCATTCTTTGTGTCAATCTTGGTGGTTTCCCTGCTGCCCCTACCTGAGAACACCTATTTGGGTTCCTTTGTGTTGGGCTGGGTGATTCCCTTGCTGTCCTTGCCCGAGGCTTCCTTTGGTGCTGGTCTTATTTAATCACTTGCTGTCCCTACCTGAGAGCAGCTAATTGAGCCCATGTTGTGTTGGCTTGATGGTTTCCTTGCTGCCCTTGCCCGTTGGTTTGGTGTATCCCTGCTGTCCCTACCCAAGAACTGCCTATTCGGGTCTCCTTTGTGTTGGCTTGGTGGCTTCCCTGCTGCCCCTACCTGTGAGCAGCTAATTGATTCCCTTCGTGTTGGCTTGGTGGTTTACTTGCTGCCCCTTCACCTGGAATGTGTAGGCCTGGCCTTCTTGGTGCTGATTCTGTTTGACCCCTTGCTGTCCCTATCTGAGAGCACCTATTTGGGTTCCTTTGTGTTGGCTTGGTGGTTTCCTTGCTGCCCTTGCCCGAGACCCATTGGGCTGGCCCTCTTGGTACTGATTTTGTTTGGTTTCCTTGCTGCCCTACCCGAGAATAGCTATTTGGGTTCCTTCATGTTATGTTGGGTCTATGCCTCATTAGAGCTGTTGTTTTGAGATAGAATTGGATGCTTTAATCTTTGTGAATTGAATATTGCAATCTTTGTTGTTTGGAAGAATTCGAGTGCCCCTTCTCGAGGATCGTTTTATTAGATGTTTGGAGAGAGTTTCAAGGCCCAATTCTTCGAGCTGAATTGACTGCTCAATAAAAAAAAAAAAAAAAAAAAAAAAAAAAAATCCTTTTGATATGGATTGGGAAGGTTTAGTTGCAATTTGGGGCATTTCAATACACCTCTTTTGGATTGTTACACCAGTAGCTTGGAAAGGAGAATTAGCTATTGACAAGTGTGCCCCATTTTATTGCTCATTCGAGGAGTCTCATCGTGTGAATATTTGAGGCTAACCCTCCTATCATTTTGGCTTCCTTCTTAAACTGATATTGGATGCGGGTTTATCTTCCTTTTTTCATTTCTTTCTTTTCGGTTCGCTTTCCTTGCTTCTTGGTTTGGTTTTAGGTGCTTATGTCCGAAACATAATCGCACATATATAGCTGCGGATATATATGAACCATCAAGAAAGTCGTAAGTTGGATACTTTTTTTTGGGGTTTAGGCCTTGATGATAAAGACATTCGGCATTCACCAACACCAGACTAGCAGAGCACCCTTTCCTTCTTAGGTTCTTGACGGTCCTAACCCGACGGTGCAATCGACTTGTGGACAATCATATTTTGTAAAAATGATAAGAACAGATACACTATTTACAAAAGTATTCTGATTATAAAAAATAGATATTACTTTTACTTATATGCATGCCAAAATATAAATGTTAAGTAATATAATTTGATTGTCCACTTGTTAATCACCGGTACTGCGCTAAGAAGTACTCTCCTAAGTTGGTATTGTAGGAAATTCTTCTAGTTGAATATCGAACTCTATACATA